CTGCTCATCCTGAATTTTGAACACGGGGCCTATTCCTAAAAGTATAAATTTACTTAGGTAAGCAGTCTGTTTCTGCAAACAATTTACTTCTTTGTTTAAACAATGAAACCACAAGTAGGATTCTGGAATTAAGATTGCCTCAAAGGCAAAGAATGCAATGGTCTTTTTACACGGTTGTGTTTAAACAGGCTTTTTCAGTGTCTTAAAAAAGAATATTTTGACCTATGAACAGCTTCGGAGACTTTGGGATATGTTAAATGGTACACTCTCAAAGGCCAGTTTGCTTCTAGTTTATTCTGCACTGGGACTGGGAGGAAACACATGTACTTCTGTGAGAGGTAGAAGTATCCTTTGGAAGCATACCCCAGAATGGAATTACCTCATCTAGTGGAGGGGTTTGATTTAGCTGTTTTTCTGCCTAGCATTTATGAAATTTTAAATCATTGCATGTTTTATCAGTTCATACCCAGAGTTTCTCTTTTTTTTTTTAATTCATTGCTTTTTGACACAATTCTCCTCTAAACTTTTGTATTCCTTCCTTTTTCGTGTACTAGCTGGTAGTTTGGTTTTGGTTTTTTTTTGGTTGGGTTTTTTTTTGTTTTGTTTTGTTTTTTCTGTTTTTTTTTTTTTTTTTTTTTTTATCTGTATCATTTACAAAGATTTTGCCAAGCTCCGTTCTTCCACTACCTGATAAATACTCAGCAAAGAAATCACTGATTTGCTGTGCACTTGTCCATGGTTACTTTTTTTAACCTTTCAAATCAGTAACTCCATGATAGGCATAAGTGAAGCCTGAGTTCTGGCTTTGAAAACACTTTGGGATGCCCCTAGCTTCAGAGACGAAGCAAACATTGAAAATATATAGAGACAAACAATCTTACAGGTTTTTCAGACTTACTGTGATAGATATACACAATAAAACTGAAGCTTTGTTTTGTCTCTTCATGAATATGATCTAATACGTGTTTTTTGCAACTCATTTATGATAATCAAATACTTTCTTTTAATACATCGTGAACAGACTTGAAAAATAGGCCTTTACTTCTACATAAAGTATATTAGTTAAGAAAAGGAGTTTCTGGAAAATAAAACCACAGAAAATAGAATGCACTCAAGTAGAACAGATTTAATAGTATTAGCAAACTGTGCATTTCCATACTTGGTTTTGATTTTTCTAGTTTGATTTGATGAAAAGAGCTGTTGTCTTTGGAAACAAATGAAGTACAAACAAAGTTACAAAGCACTTTCCAGAAAAGTCCTAGTATTAACCAAGGTAAATTTCAGAGGTCTCTGGCTTTTTTAAGGACTTCCTTTTCTGTGATGTTTTGTTATTCTTGTTTGTGGTTGTGTGGGTTGGTTTGGGTTTTTTTTTTTTAGAGGACAGTTAAGAAAAGAAAATACAAAAATACTTAAATGTTTTAATTACAGTTATCCTTCCAAGGTTGGCATGATCTGTGTTAAAATGTTGTGGTCAACTGAAGCATGTGAATTTTGTTAGAACATCCTCCACCATCAGTAGCAGATAGATTAGCTTTGTTTTCTCCATCAGAGAGTTCTGATACCAGGATTTTAGCATAACAACTGTTTTGTTTTTTTTTTTTTTTTTTTTCAGCCTCCATGGTCTCCAGAGAGGCTTTACCTGGCATGCTCTGTAAATGTTTGGTTTTCTGGCAGAGTCATCTTGCCCTGTCTGACTAGTACTGCTCCCTTTGCTTGCCATTAGCTTGCCAGATACTGGCAGATTTGTCTTGTGTGGCAGTTGTTTGAAAACATACTTTTGGGGGAGATTTTCCATTGCAAGAAGATGGTCTTGATGGCAAGACAGTCTGGTATAATTTCCAAATATAAATATATATGTTTTAACTGTGTATACAATAAACTTCCAGTTTTGGTGAAAAAGAAAAAAATAAAAGAGCAACCATGAAAGCAGAGTTGCTGTTGGTTAAAATAAAAGTTTTGAGCCTCAGGTGTGAGGTTCCTATGTGTTTAAGATACGAGAATTTCTCTCAGATAGGGTGTTATCAAAATGACAGTGAAAGTGCTCAACGCTGACATATTGTAATGGTGACTATGCATTTTTTCATGCTATGATTGTAAGTTAGGCTAAGGATGGCAGTTTGGTTTTCTGTCTGCCTTCTTTACTGTCCATTAGTGAATAATGGGAGACAAAAGGGAAAACAATTTATAGTGAATACAATTGACTTCAGGTTCTGGTGCAGTTGAGTCATGCATTACTGTACTGAGTGGTTTGATTTTTTTCAGTTTTATTGAAAGATGGCTGTTTAGAGCATGTAGAAATTCCACCTGGGTGGCTTACAATAAATAAGGGATATACTTACTCACTTCTCCCTGAAATACATGCATCAGTTTAACTACCAGAATCTTAAATAAGATGCAAGAAGAGCTATGTGACAGTGCATGCAGAGTATTTGGTTAGTAGCATTTACTTTTTTTTTTTTAATTCCCTTTTTCCATTATTAGGTAGTTGATGGAGAGTAAATTTGATGATAGGTAGCTTTCTGCTGTGGTATGAAGCTCCCGATATTTGTGGGGAAATGAAAAAGGATTCCTCTAAGAGAGAAGACAAACAAGGGACGTGGGACTGGCACTGGCCTGATTTTGGTGAAGGGGATTTTTATTTATTTTCTTATCTTTTGATACAGATGGAATTTTGGGTTTCTCTTCCCCCAAAGCAGCAGATATAGGATCACAAAAGTAAATGAATGCCTAAAATGGGAATGAGACACTGCTTTCTGTAAGAACAGGAGCTGGTTTTGACTGTTCAGTAGATACAGATAGGTGGGATCAAGGTGGGGGGGAAAAAAAAAAAAAAATAAGGGCTTCGTTTGGTGTCCCTAGTGAAGAGTTTGGACAAGAAACTTCACAAGTATTTGATGTGCGATCTTCAGGGGCTGCGGGGAGGGAGGAAACCCCAAACCTGGCAGAGCAAAGAAAAGCCCAAATCTAGAAGTTTCTTCATCCACATGAGAACAACGGGGGTTGACGTTGTTTATAAAAGAGGATAGCAACATCTGGATTCTGTGATCCTAGCCATCATCCCTTTATGTTTCCTTGCAGAAGCCCTGAGGTCCAGTCACCTGTGCTAGCAGAACGGTATTAGGGTCGAGCATTAAGAGCACAGTACCAGAATTACTAATTCCCCTTTGCCCCTCCTGCAGGTCGCTACCTAACTTGGGTCAGTAGAATTTCCTCCGAATCCTGTGACAAGATCTGACCAGAATTATTGCTGGCTTGGAGAGGCTAAGCATCTTGCTGTTCTTCTAATGCATATCAATCAATTTAGTATTCAGGCAGATGGTGTCCTTACAAATCCTCTGTAGTCTAACAGGCACTCCCAGTAATGCCTCACAGACACATGTGAATGAAATGGTGCCAGTTCATTTCTTTAGCTGTTGTTTTGAGCAAAAGAAAATTGCTTTGTGGTAGTGCTTGCCATGCTGTGCAGTAGCTTTGTGGTTAGAGTATTTATCCAAGAAGTAGGAGTCTGGGTTCTGTGTTACTGTTATGTTTCAGCACATGCCAAAACTTACATGAAAGGTCAGTATCGGGGGTAGGTGGGTGGGGGTGGTATCCCCCACCCTTTGGCAGGAGCTTTGCTAGCGAGTGGCAAAGTTTCCTGGGGCTGAAAAGATGGATCAGCAGAGAAGGTGACTGGCTCCGTGACAAAGACTTCACCTAGGAGGGAGGCAAATACAAGTCCCATAAGGCATGTCTTTGCATTTCTGGGGAGAAAGGAAAAGGTGAACCCTGTATATATAACTTCTTGCAGTCCATTTAATAATGCTACCAACATGAAGATAAATTACAGTAACTGCAGCTTTCTGATTTGAACTTTACCAGTCTGGAGAAATTCCTATGAAGAAGCTGCCGGTTTCCCCTGTGCAGGCGGGAGGATGGAGGGAGCAATGTTCCACAGACAGTGTGAAAAGGCAGGTGGAGGTTGCACAGAATCCAGCATATATTAACTTGAAGTTTCACTAGTAGTCAACACTCCCTGCTCGGCTCTGTTCCCCTCCAACTTAAGGCCGTTTTTTTTAGTTTTTTTTTTGGAGGGGGGGGGTGGTTTTTTTTGTTTGTTTTGTTTTTTTTGGTAAAATTGGTGGTGGTGGTCTTTTAAATGCAGATGAGCTGATGCTAATTTACCCACTGCTCTGCTACCACTGGCAGGGAAGTGGCATTAAATATGTTTTAAAAGTATGTTTAAATTGGGACTCATGCACCTTCTGCCTTTACCTTATCAACCCTTTATTCAAAATAAGCATAATAATAAAAGTTTTTTAAATAGTTTGGAAATGGCTATTTTGCATCACCTAGAAAAATTTTAAAGAGAGATTTTGGTACTTTCGTATGCATAAACGTTCCACCACAACTCTCTGGATTGCTGATATATGCATTTCTATCCTTTTTCTCCCTGCTCCTTCACACTGTTTGTTTTTTTTGGTTTTTTTTTTTTTTTTTTTTGCAGAGGTTCTTGTGCTTTTTCTTATCTTCTTGTCTTTCCCCCTTGATCTCAAGCATTTGCTCATTAGCACTTACTGAAATGCTTTGTGGGACATTTAGAGCAAAACAAATTAAGACCTTGCAGTTCCAGATAGTTCAGCTCTGCAGCTGGCTCCACTCGTACAGCAGTTCAGTGCACTGTGATATGTAGGCACTATTGGCACTGGCAGACTGTTCATCATCTGTCTGACAGGGGGTCAGCGCTGCGGGCAAAACAGCGCTTGGCTACTTGAATTCAAGAATCTAATATTTCCTGCTCAGTAAGACCTGCGACCAGGTCCGAATAATCCTGACTCTTTAATTTGTGAGATTGTCTGCATTGTGGGGGACACAGTTATTCTCTCGTAACTATTGATTTTCTTAAAGGAAGTCAAGGTAGTTTACACCTGAAGGGTACTTGGGCAAATCTAGGACACCTATTAACTCGAGTCAATCTGGAATCCTTGTGAAAAGCTGAGCTTTTGCTTCCTGGCTGCTGGGAAAAGATTCTGCTTTCAGGTCAGTCTGGAAATGCCCTTGCTTCATACTTCATCTGCTTTGGGCTTTTAGCAATTGCAGAGTGTAATTTACCAGTAATAAAAACCCAATTATGCGCTGAACAACAAGGATTTTTGAGAAGTCTTACGAATTTCTCTTTGTGAGGGGGCTGTGTGTGCCTCACTGGATTTCTTGCCTGCATTTGCCAGGAGAACAAGTGCTTTATCTTCTTCATGCTCACCATCTCAGTCTTTGAACATCCTTTTCTCCTTTACTCTGTCTTCTACCTTAAAACTAACCACTGTGCCCTTTGAGGACACTGTTTTTTTTGTTTTTTTATTTTTTTTTTTCCACAGTGGGAGTATTCATCATTCATCCTAGATCTCAAATGGAAGTACTGAGGTTCAGTTAATGTGATCTAAGGAAACCAGATGCCCCCCCCCCCTCAGGAAACGTTGCCCCTGGGGGTTGAGACCTGCCCTCTGTCTGTTCAGATTGCTTGTGGGACCGGACCTGCCCTGTGGTTTGGTGAGCCAGGCCGGTTAGCTGCTACCCTGGGAGTTGCTGGGGAGGGTCGGCTCATTGGCTTCAGCAAAGGCTTTGTGTGATAGAATTCTGTCACGGATATGAAAATACTGTCTGTTAACTGATACAAATCTCTGTTCCATTATGATCAGATTGTCTCTGAACTTCATTGGACTGAACTATAATGCAGATTCATACTCCATAGTTACATTGCAATAGTTTATTTTAAAAGCTGTATCAGATAGATTGAAGAGAGAAGAGCTTGTGACAATGTGGGGAAATGCAATCAATGCAAATTAACTTATTTAACATTTCTAGTGTAGAGACGTCCAATATCACAGTAGCATTTCATCGTTAAAGAAAAAAAGATGTTGGTAATTTCTAGTTGTTTGGTATCCTCCAGGTTATCGGAGATGGTGATTTGAAGAATCAGGTTTCCAATATGAACAAAGCAAAAGCGTCATCTGAAAAAAGGTGAATTTAAAACCATAGTGACTTCTCAACATCAAGCTATTTGAGATTTGTGAAAAAGCAGACTTTATCTTATTAATAAGATAAATCAAATATGCATTATGAGCCCCTAGTAAGAATGTGTATCCTGATACACCAAGGGAGTCAATATTGATTAGCATAAAGTAGCTTCATATTTAATAAATGACTCTTTAAATTTACAATTTTCAGTTAGTATTAGACATGTTAAAATATAAAATACGCCTTACATTTCATTGTAACAGTTATCGACTAATTTAATATTTTCAAGCAAATATGGGCAAAACATAAAATGATTTATATTGAATGAATTAAAGGATAAGTTTATAATACTGTATAGGAAGCTATGATGTTTGTCCTAAGATGTATACAAACCTTGAACAGTTAGGACAAACAAGAGTGGGGTTACAGAAGGTTTCAAGAATTGAAAAGTTGTGTTTGTTATTTTCATGATAACTTGTTTTAGCAAATATTTGAAAAAGTTATGAGGTTATCTATGGAAGACAAAATATCTCTTAAGTGTCAGGAAAGGATTTCAGTCTTACTCTTTTCCTAAGATATGACAGGTTAAAGCACCTCATTAAATCAGACCAGCTAATCATAAAAAAAAAAAAAAAATATTCTGTAGATGGGAAAATAGGGAATTTTTGCTTCAGCCTTAGTTCTCTGAAATACCGATTATCTTCTACGTGGGTGGATGAATTTGCATGAAGGACATGCTCTACTGTGGATTAATTTTCTATGTTGGGATGGAGTTACAAATTTTAGTTTAAACCACTGCATGTAGAATCATCTTTGCTTTTGCGGACTTTAACAGTGGAACAGCTAGATATCAGGGACTGGTTGCTCCTGTTTGTGTAAGAGATGGATCAAAAGAAATAGTAAAGAAACTATTATGTTTTCTACGTATGGTGTATTAGTTCCTTAGGCGATATGATAAGCAAACTCAAGCTCTCCATCAACAGTGGGTATTATTGGAAATACTACTAATTATAATACATGAAGTATACTATCACACAGAATATTAGATTTCTACAAAGTGTCTACTTAAGTGCTGTTTATTCTTCTTTAGTTCTTGAGTTAAAAGGAGAGCTTCCATCCCTGCAATTCAAAACTGTGGTTCCCAAAGTAATGAATAAATTATGGTGACTTTAGTTCACGGCTATCTCTGTACAATAATCAGAAGTATCAGCTCTCTGAAGATTACGTGATAACTGCAGGTGGTTGAGAAAAAAATTTGGAATTGGTTTGCATTGGAATAAAACAAAACCAGACTCATGAGAAGCCTGCCTACTTCAAAATATTTTTCAAAAAGCTCCCTGTAACATGCTGAAACACAGCAGACCTGTTTGCTGCGAGGGAAGAAGACGCTCCCTGCTATGGCAGCGCGCTGGCTGAGTGCAAACAGCAGCTTCAGGGGAAGTAGGTACAGCTGGTGAACTGAAGGTTTCTGATTACTTCCTTCATTTGACTATTATCTTTTGGGAGGCTTCTTGCAAGGTGAATAGCTGAAAACCATCCTATAAGCTGCCATGACAGCCGTCAGAGTTCTCTTTCTCATTGTGAAGAAACACTTAGGAAGGTGTAATGATGTGTTTTAGCATTTGCATAGCACAGTACTGTACAGGGACTCCTGGAGAGTTGTGAATCTAGCACTTCATCGTAATCAGAGTAATAACGCTTAAACTTTTGGGGAGTTGGTGAGACTGGGAGAAACGTCCCTGCAGCAAGGGAACTTTCTCTGAGAAGATGTTTTCTTGTTGAGGGAGTTCTCTTTTAAACATGAACCCCTGAAGCCCTCTGTTCCTCACTGTCTGGGCAGGTGCTTCCTCTATATCTACTCAAAGCTTTCCTAACCAGAGAAAGAGGAAATCCACAAAGCTGTCTGGGTAGCTAGAGCCACACTGTGCGCTTTGGCAGCAGCTGAGGTGGTGTCAGGCTTGTTCCTGCTTCTTTTTTGCAAGTAAGATGCTGTTGTGAGGGGCATTTGGAGCTGTGGCCTTTGGTCATGGGCTGGAGAAAGGGTTTCCTGCCCATGGAGACATGCAGTGTAGGGGATCAAACAAGCCTGGTAAACTTCACCTGAGGATGCTAAAAAAAGTCTAAATCCACCCCAGTATAATAATTATCGGTTGTCTTCAGAACACATGAGATCTGGGTTAAGTAGTGAAAGACAGAGATGACAAACATAGTGGTTGTGTCTGTGGGAGTCGGGGAGCAGAAACTAAGTAGCTGTAGATCAGCTGTCTTCTTTTCTTTGCACAGAAGGATCCTGGAAGAACTAACCGAATGCGTGAGGCTGCGAACAGCCAAAGGTGGTTTGAGTTGTTCTTGAAAATCCATCTGATTTTTCCTATGTGAGAGAGTAACAGGTCTCACGGTCAGAAAAGTGGCATTAGAATACCACAAACGTGTTTAAAGCTTTACTAAAATAACCACTGCATGTGATTGCCATCAGGGAGCTGAGGCAATTGCTCTCTCCAAGTGCTCTGGAGTAGGGCACTGACTGGGTACCAGAGCAGGGGTGGTTGATCACTGTCAGAAGGAAACAGCGCACGGTTTGTTTCTGGATGTGCTCTTTCCTCCTCTTTTTGGGAACGACTGAAAATACTTTGCGCTTCTACTAATGATCTGAAAGAGAAGAAAGAGTTCTTGTTAAAGCTGCAGACAGCTTGAAACTGGAAAGATCTGCAAAAATATTAGAGGACCAAATGATTTCCAAATACTCCTGTGAAATGCAGAAAAGAATATTTGCTGGGAAGATGTGCAAGGTACTGTGCTTAGAGAGGTATACAACTGCAAGGGATAAAGGACAGTCACGTTCGTAGTGAGGAGAGCCACAAATAGTGAGATTGAACTGCAGGGAGAAAATCTTTGGAATGAAGGGACACAAGGTGTGAGAATGAAGGTGCCTTTGGTTACTGACTCACCATTTTTGCAGGCTGTTAAGGACTGTTTGGGCATATGTCTGTCATGAAGAGCAGCTGTGGTGTTGATCCAACTCCGAAGAGAATAGCTTATATGGCCTTAGGAAGTTTCTTCTAGTGCTTTACAGCCATTTTGATTTTTATAGCTAAAGAGAGCAGAAACTGTTGCCTGCAATGACTACAGAGTGCTCTTGTGAGGAAGTTTTAGAATGAGTGGGGTCAAAAATGTCTCCTTAGTGGGAAGACAAGCCTTGTATGAAAGGCTGGCCACAGTGTTCAGGGCCACCTGTGAGCTTCTGCAGCGTCAGCAGCTTAAGAGGAAATCTAGCTCAGACAGGACGCAGTTTTTATTGTGCCATTCTGACTACGTCCTTGGTTTACCTAGCTGTTGGATTAAAAATACTGAATTCCATGTTGCCCCTCTGTTTTGGAGAGCTGTCTCCCAGATTTGGATCCTGAATGGTTTGTTGGTTAAAACGTATGTATTTGCATTCCAAATATCAGAAGGAGTCACGCTGCAAATTGGGTTCTATTTTGTTCTTAGGTCAAATGGGTTGTCACAGCAATATTACATACGGATCAGTCAGTCAGGCTGGCTGCCCTATTTCTTGTCCTACAGCCTTTCTGATTTACTAGGCAGACATTGAAAGCTCTCACAGTATTATAACCACTATGTATATTAGTGCAGAATATTAATAAATAATTCTTGTTTTAGGAAGAAAACTCAGTCATAGCTAAGAGGAAATCAGGGCTTTAGTTTATATTTCAGCATAGACTCTGAGCTGATGTTATTTTCAATGACAGTTGATTTGGTATGCTGAAGACATGAAGTTTATTTGACTGTATATCTGTTGGAAGACTTCTTGCAAGATGAATAACCTAAAACCATTCTAAAGATACCTCTTTAACCACTGCAATGAGCACTCATCGCTCTTGATAGAAACTCTGGCCCCAGGAGGAGATGATACTTCTAAATCTTAGGATTTAAATTGTTATATCACCCAGTAGTGAGAATGACTTACCATTCCTGAACCTTTTAAAGCTTTTAGTAAGTATGGAGAAACTATGTTAGATGCTAACGTTGTACATGTTATATTACTTCCATGTGCTGGCATTGCTTGGATTTTGCAGGTCACAGCAGTCAAAAATCATGTTTGCTCTGAAATTTTAGTGCCTGTGAATGAGTTTGTCTTTATGAAAACTTGTATTGTCTTGTTTGTTTGTTTGTTCCTAAGGACTATCTTTGCTTTCTTGGGTTGTTTCCAGCTTTCAAACTACATTTATTTCTGTGTGAGACCAATGAAATACCACAGTGGAACTTTTAGATATGTACACACCCGCACACTGAAGCAGCAGTTCTCTTACACGTTGGTTTAGATGTGGGTTGGCTGGGCTCTTTACTTGTTTTGGTTGTGAGCTGCTGAAGGCAACATCTTTTGGAAGCTTGTCAGCTTGTATACCAGACGAACAGAGGTTATAGATTTCATGAAAATCTTGGGTTTATTTTGGAGTGTTTCAAGTTCAGAGGATGAATGGGAGCATAGAATTAAACAAAACGAATCTTATGCAAATAATAACGGCTTTATACTATCCAACCTGGTTTTGGATGATGAGAAAGGATTGGGGGGATTATGCTTTACTTGAACAAGTAATATTTTATCAACCAAGACAGATTTATTTTAGATCCAAAGATCCTTTAAAATCAAAGTCCAGCAAATAACCGAGAAGGTGATATACTTACTTCACCGTATAAAATTATTTTGACTTATGCTCTATAAATAGTATAACCATTTCTTATTACTGATGTTAACAGCTTGTAAGTATCATCTGTAATCTGAAATTGATTTTTGGTCACGCTTCTCATTTAGATGTCAGTGTGGAAAAGTGGAAGTGGTAGAAGCAGTTTCCCCAGCAGCTGTTGTATCGATGTGCTTTCATGGCAGTACAGACTTTGCTGTCAGCTACCTTTTTTTTCCTTGATTTTAACATACTTGCCCAAATCTAAGCTAATTATTTTAGTAGAGATAACTGTAAGTGTGAAACCTTTTCATATATGTAAAATACAAATCAAGGCGTAATAATTCCTCATTGTTATAAACAAACCTGACATATTTATAAAGCTAATGTTACAGACTTTAGTTTTATTGCAGATAGTCAGAACAGTATGTGTATGAAATGAATTATTGTCGGTTATTGTGGGACGCTAATGTTACAAAAGTGCAAAGTCAAGGTAGTTAATCCTTGGAAGTTATAATTTCCTGTAATTAATTATATGACTCTACTTCAAATGTTAAAAAATTGTCTAAAAATTACTTTCATGTGGAAATGTGAATCTCAGCACTATTCTGAATAATTGTTGTGTTCTAAAACTGGAGAGCAATAAAACAATTTCTAGACTGATTCTATTTTGAATACTATAAATATTTACTTTTTTTTTTTAGCCTCTGTAATCTACCTACCTATACGAGTCCCTGGTTTAAATTTGTTTCTTATATTAAATACATTTTCAAGGCAATTTTATGATGTCAGGCTAAAATACCTTGATGTTAAAAATGAATTCAAACTCTGATGATAGCTTTGAACACCTTCGAAAATTTTTTCTTCAGAATGGTGTTCTTTTTCTTCAAATGGTGGGTGCTGCTTTGCTCACCTCACGAATTACATATTCTTTCACTTTAGAAACACAAGCCCGGAAGGCAAACAGTCTTTGGGACTGTTTGTAGGCAGTTTTTTCTTGAATGGCAGGTTTGATCCAGTATCCTGGCCCTTAAGATAAACTGTATTAAATATAAATTACTCTAACTGACATAAACAACATTTGTACCTACATCTGGATTTTTTTGCTGCAACTAATTTCTCTGTTCACAGTTGGTCTTGGAGATGCTGTTATACATAGTTAGTCTGCTGCAATGCAGGCTTTGTAAAATCTGTAAATTTGCCAGAATTAAAGAGAATTAAGACTGTTCTCCAGTTGAGATAAAGTATGAAGGTGAATTAGCAACTCCCCTTATTCTAACGTGGGATTTCTGTCGTTAGTGTTTTTTTCCTCTGATCGAGGTGGAAAAATGAATGTAAAAATTCTTTGTTGTAGTGTTTCTACCAGTTCTCAGACTATGTCTCTGCTGTCACAGCTGGAGAAGATCAATTTGGATTCTGTATTAGGAGAAGCAGACAATGCCAGATATGTTACCTCAGAGATCCTTCATCTAGTTCAGAGTCAAGGTAAATATCTCAGTTTTATGGTTTTAGTAGTTTTTGTTTTGATGAGCCTTCCTTCTCGTATTTCTTCTGAGGTAGACTTTAATTGTTGTTTCTGTTCGGTGGACTTGATTAGCCATCTGCTTTTGTCACTGATTGTTTAAAGCACCTGTTTAAGGCCATGTTTAAAGTTGTCTGATATAGTATTGGTTACACTGAGTGCATTTTGTATTGTCAAACAGCTATAATTTAAGTGATAATTCACAGTATACATGTGTATATATATACGAGAAGTAGAAGTATCTGGAAGAGAGCTTTCTTACAGATTTTACCTTTACAGTGTTTTTTTCTAGGACAAATTGTTGAACAAGTGAAAGCAAAAATGAGATTTAAAGTCACTTAAGTCTTTGATTTATTTTAGTTAGTATTATCTACATATATGCAGTTTTTAATAGATTTTATTATTTACAGTGTAGTGTAGATTTTCTGATCAATCTGTATGTGATCACAGGGCATTTTGCCCACAAGCTAGTATATTAAAAGAAAAATGGTCTTTTTCTGACTGGCAGAAAAAAACAAGGAGGAGATGACTTCTAAGGGCTCCACTGGAATAGAAGTTATCCTGTCAGCCCTAGAGGTAAAACCTTCCGATCTGTGTGGTTATGGGTACGTAGCAAGTTTTCATTTTATCACCGGGCTTTGTATTACTACAAATACGTTGTTATCCTGTCTAGTCTCCAACACTTGTGTAGGACTGTGATGATTAGATATGGTCTAGTTAAGAATTTCTCTCCCTTATTTTTAAATATTGTAAGAAATTAGTTGTCAATTATCAGTTCTAATTAATATGCCATATTGCAAACTAAATTTTAATTGTTTTTTTTTGGTTAATTCAGGCTGCATAGTAGATGATTAGCTGGGTGGTTACATCTTAAATTCTGTTTGATTTAGTGGTGGCAGTTTCTCTGAGCTTGTAAGTATTTAAACCACTGTATTAGACTTCTACATTAAGTAAAGAAATCCCTCTATTTTACATTGCAGAATACAAAAGATCCTCAAAGTATTCGAAATATATTGAATATCCTCATTGAGATTGTGTCAGTTGGTAAGTTTTCATTAAGGAGCAGTTTTCAATTTGTGATTATATTCCTGTATTCTTCTGCAGAAGTTGTGTTTTTCCTTTGGGAGGCAGGTTTGTGTTTGTTTAGTAATTTTTTTGGGTGGTTTCAGATGTTTGCTAACAGTGATTTGTATGCAGAATAAAAAGAACACAAAGACTGAAGCCACCTTTCAAATAATCATACACAAATAATTTACGTTGCTGTAAGTATAAGGCCAGCAGGTTCTTGCCTAGTGCAGTCACATATGAGGAAAATATTTCTGTTCTAAAGACTTCCCTTATGATAACTGTAGCTTAGGTTCTTAATTGTTCTTTGGCTTCGGAGATATCAGTTGAGTTTTAATTCCTAGGTGGCGGTCAGAGGGCAGGCGTCTTAGTCACTAAAGGAGGGACACAGATCTTATTGCAGTTGCTTTTGACTGCCAGCAAAGACTCTCCACCAACTGGAGAATTAATGGTGCTTCTTCATACTCTTCTTGCAAAAATTGGTCCAAAAGGTGATAATGATATACGTACATAATATGGCTTAATACTTTGTAGTTTTATGATTGTAACTTCAAAAAAATTTTCTTTCTATTATTGTGTAAGCATGCATGTATTCAGAATTGGTAAAGGAGAACACAAAGATGAGTAAAATAGAGGGGAGGAAAGAATGATGAAAAATAGGTAAGCAGAGTTGACAGCAGAAGAAATTCACAGTTTGTTTAACTTTTTTTTTGATAACTTCAAAATTAGTGTGAATAATCTTGTATTTCTTTGACGTCAGACAAAAAGATTGGCATGAAAGCAAGAATTAATGGTGCCCTAAACATATCATTGAATTTAGTGAAGCAGAATTTGCAAAACCACAGGCTAATATTGCCATGTCTTCAAGTATTAAGAGTTTACTCAACCAACTGTAAGTACTGCTGATAGTTCTTTTTTTTCCCATGTGATACAAAAGTTTTTACCTAGATACAGTTGAAACATCCGATCTACATGCTTGTTCAATGTTAGATGTTTAAAATAATTATTTTTATCTGAGAATTCAAATTGCTTGAATTCTAATAAAAGCTGTGAAGCGTGCTTGTACATCTCGTGTGTCTTTGATTTTTATTCAGTTTGTGTGTGTGTGTATATATATATATACAAACACTGCCGGGGGTTTTAACCAGTGCTATTGGATGTGTGAAACTGAGTCATCTAACTTTCATAAATGCTGATCCTTTAAGATTTAAACCAGAAATACTAACATTATGCTTGCGAAAGCACTTCAAATTAAATAATTATTCTTTTTATTATACACGCTCACTTATTTTTCTTTTTACTATTTTATTTCATTGTAGATCACTAATGTAAAACTTGGTTCACACAGGACATATTTTAATTATTTAACCTTTCCCTTCTTCATTGTGTTGAAGTGCCCTACTATTGGGCTAATACTCTTCCACAAGAGCCGAATTCATTGTCTGGGCAGGCAGTAGGAAGTTGAGGAAAGTAGTGTGTTTCTTGCTGTATCTCTGCTGTTGCTTATGTAAGAAACAAGCCCATGTATATATAAAAAAAGTTTTATTGGGGACAAAGTCAGTGGAGCAAAGAATACAGCACTGGGCACAAAGGGGCTCCCTTTTATTGTATAAATGGTTAAATATTTGTGAGAAACAAGCCCACGTATATATAAAAAAAGTTTTATTGGGGACAAAGTCAGTGGAGCAAAGAATACAGCGCTGGGCGCAATGGCGCGCCCTGGAGCCAAAAGGGGCTCCCTTTTATTGTATAAATGGTTACATATTCATCTACTCTAATACATATGCATCACTACTTCTAAGGATAGGGAGGGAATATTACAATTAGTTCCGAGAAATCATTAACATATCCCCCCAACCCAAATTCCTCCCGTCGCGCTTGCGCAGTGCTCCCTGGTGGTCAGTGGGCAGGGGTCTTCAGATGAAGGCTCGTAGTCTTCTTCACTGTGTTCGCTCGTTGACCCTTATTTCTGCGCAAACTCAGTCCTGTGGTCGCGTACACCTTGTCCTTCAAGTCTGGGCTAATTTGTAGCTCTTTTGTCTTTATGGCTCAGTGGCTCCAGTTCCTCTCTTATCTCAAGAACAGGAGATAACAGAGAGGGCCCATCATGTTCTTTGCCATTCCATTGCAAAGGAGTTACCATCCTTTGATATGGACCATCTGGTGAGCATTCCAAAGGAAAAAGGGGCGGCTGTTGGGTTGTTGTTTCCTCTGATCAATTCCCCCTCCCTTCTCTTTTCCCACTAGTAAATTATTTCACTTTTCTTAAAATTTGTATCATTGTACTAATAATAGCTTCAGCCTAATTCAATAAAAGTAATTGTTTAATTACTTTTAGCGAAAGCAAAATTCTTCTATTATTTATCACAATCCACCCTTTTTTTTTTTTTTTTTTAATACCATATTTTGCTTGAGCTTACTAACACTTAGTCTCATTCTTTTCTTAATATCATAACTTTGTGGGCACCAGCCACTGCTGCCATCTCAGGGTTTACCGGCATTGCTGTTATTGGCATCCCCTCAATAACATGAGATATTAGCTGTATAAAGCAAGGTATTGAACATGGTAAAAATAGTAAGCCCGCGACGGCACAAAGGAAGAAAAATTCAATCTTTTCCACCAGGAAGCTCCTAATAGATCATCCCACCATTTTGAGTCTAACATTGAGGGTGTTTTATGGTCTTGGTTACCCAGAGCACCGTAGGTTAAACAGCTCTTATTCTATCTGCTATATGCAGTTGTCGCCTTAATGTTTTTGCCGTGTGTTATTTATTCCTTGCTTTGTTCAGTTAATCCAACATGTTGTGACCAACATGCAATTTGCTACTATTGTTTCACCTGTTGGCGTTAAGCAAATTCGAGCTGTGTGCCGAACTGCACAGTCAACCGTACTATCAGACACCCTGTAAACAATAATCAACAATTTATTAGCAAATAAGAACCTGAAATAATTAACTGTATAACAATCCAGCAAAGTCCCACATGACACAATCAGAAAGAGAAAAAGTAAGAAACAAAGATATCAGCACTGTCCTTTGGATGTTGTCCTTCGATGTCTTGTTACCCTTACTCACGGGGCGATAGCGATAGAAAGATAGAAAAGAGTCCAAGAACAACAGTCACGCGCCGCGCGGTAACTCCTCTGATCAATAACATTTTCTTCTTTGAACTATAAGTCTGTTTCCATCACCTCATCAAAGGTTTTGAGGGCGTCTTAGTTGTCTTCGTGATCTTGGAGGATTGGGGGGAGGAGGTGATCTTCTCCGACACCAGCCACGAGACATTCCCTCGCATACCGCGATGGCAACGACAGTCACCACCAATATAATGAAAAATCCCAACAGCAGGGCGGCGCACACGGGATCGTCCCCTACTCCCATCTTCCCAAGATTGCAATCCAGTGGGATCAGTAAGATTAGTGGGATAGTCCAGCCCCAGGCTAGCGGCTTGACCGAGGAAGGTCCAAGTGCGCAATGAGCGGAAGTTTCTCTTCCACCCAGAATGCCTGTGCTGCCTAGATCTGGGCGGGCCTGGCAGTTGTTTTTGCCATCCGGGTATAGCCGAACTTTCGAGACCCTCCAACAACACATGCGCTTTGGACTGGGGGCGTGGAAATCCATTTTCCTGCTGCGTATGTGGACCCTGACTCCTGATCCCTACGGACCAGGCAGGTTCGCCACTCGCGCTCTCACTCTTGTACCTCCGATACCGCGAAAACAATGGAGCGTGCTTATGCATGGGCAGCAATTTATTGTGCAGCCTTGATGTTGGTAGCCCTCACTTTGTTTGCCTTTTTACTACATATCTTTTGCCCTTGTGAATGTTCCTCTTTCAAGTGCCCATGTAGTTGTATCTGCTTATGTAAACCACCATCTCCTTTGGCTAACCACGTCGAAAATTCTGTTATAGGTCTTTTCGGCGGTTTTGGTACTGGCTATTTTACTTCTGTCACATCTTTTACTTGGATTCTCTTCTTCCCACTAAAAATATCTCCATCCACCCTTCTGTCTTTGGGAAAGCAAAGCCACTCTGATGTTGGACATAACAGTAAAGCACTTGCTGCACAAATTTGCCACTATTAAAGCAAACCATACCAGGATGATTAGCAGAGGTCCGGTATAACATATACTCCCACCTCTCATGCCTATGGGGTTGCAGCCCACAGCTGAGATAAAAGTCTTCCTGGTGGGGAGCACAGAGGTTAACCCGGTCTTGCCCTCTACTGTTTAATGAATCCGTGTGTTAAGAGTTAGCCAATTCAAGTGCAGCTACTTTATAGCCACTTCCTTTGTTTCTAAGCAAAGCAAATTTTTTTGGCACTTTCTGATAGTGTCCTCCCATCAACTCTCAGGGACATCACAAATTCTGGGGACTAACTTCTTTTTCCCGTAAATCAAGGTTACAGTTCATGCCCCTTCCCTATACAGTTTTAAGACAATTTTCTCCATCTACAAGAAATACCACCTCCGGTGACACATTTCACATTCACACAAAACCCACGCTTCATGACATCCATACATACACTCGAGACAAGGTATTACCCTATTAGGTTGATTTTCTAGCAATGCCTGATCGAATCCAAAATGCTCATAATCTGTTACCAAAAGCCACTCTGTCATATGTCTGCCAGTTAAATTTTCACAATGTTACCTCTGAACCCAGTCAAAAATCCAGTCAAACCACTGGTTAAGAGTCATTCAATCCCTCCTGATGAATTTACTTAGTCCTTTGAGGGTGACTTGTAGTTGGTCAGTTGATGGTACCACAGTCCACTCCTGAGGCTTTTCCACTGGTCCTTTTCCTCAGGAGGCAGGAGTCCACCCCTTTTCTTTTGTTCGGATCGCTGTCTCGGTGGTCAGCAGCACCTGAAATGGAACTTCCCACTTGGGAGTTAATGATTAATCTTTCCACACTTTTAGCAATACCCAATCACTGGTTTTACATTGTGGATATTAAAATCCAATGGTGGTATTTGAGGCAGAAGCCCTTTCTTTTTTTTTCTTTTTTTTTTTTTTTTTTTTTGTTTCATTAAAGTGTTAGCAATTCTTATTACATACTTTCTTACATACTGATCTCCTACTTCAGGGGTGACAGTATCCCTGTTATTACTCATAGATGGTAATCCAAACATCATTTCATAGGGAGAAATTCCCAGGTCTGTTTGTGGCTCAGTATTGATCCTTAATAAGGCCAACGGCAGACATTTAATCCAAGACATCTGAGTCTCAATCATTAACTTAGTCACGGTTTGTTTTAAAGTTTGATTCATTCTTTTCTCCTCTTCCAGAACTCTGAGGATGCCATAGGGTGTGCCACGCCCATTCAATCCCTAAGGCTTCAGATAGTTGTTGCATAATTTTTAAAATGAAATGTGTTCCTCTGCCCAAGTCTATCCATATCTGGGATAATGTTTTCCAATAACACCTTGGATACCATGCTTGCCATTGCCCTTGGTGTGGGGGATTGCTTCCACCCAATGAGTTAAGTGAGCCACTAATACCAACAAATACTTCCACCCTTGTATTTGAGGTAGCTCTGTTAAGTCTACCTGGAGGCTTTGTATGGCTAGCTCCTGTTCCCCAGCCACCTTTTTCTCATTATCTTTTGTTCACTTTTTAACAATTCAGACACTGATCAACTAGTTGTTTAGCCACCGTGTATATTCCTATACACCCATATTGTCTAAGAAAATGATCACAAAGTGATTGCGTTCCCCAATGTATTTTCTGATGTATTAATGACAGAATTTCTCATGATCATGTTTTATTTAACATCTACCTTCCATCTGCTAAAGTCCATTTTCCTTCTGGATCTTCCCCCGCCCCCCCCCCCCCACCCCCCCCCAACCCCCCTTATTTTAAGTACATCCTTTTCTTGTTCTGTGAAATTCGGGGCTAAATTCTCATAATCCCCCGGTGTTACTACCAATAAAACTACTGATGATGATTCTGTAGCTGCTCTTCTGGCTACTTAATCTGCTAAATTATTGCCCCTTATTTCCATCGATGC